TAGCGCAGCAGCCGCCGCAGCAGGTCCAGCGCAGCCGGCTCCGCGCCCGGCACCAGCTGCTGCAGCGGCGGCGCCGCCCGCGGCCGGAACCGCAGCTTGGGGAAATCCGGCAGCTCCGACAGCTCCTGCGGGGACAGCCACCAGTACGGACCAGTACAGACCAGTACGGACCAGTATGGACCAGTACGGACCAGTACGGACCAGTACGGACCAGTACTGACCAGTACAGACCAGTACAGACCAGTACTGACCAGTACGGACCAGTACTGACCAGTACTGACCAATACGGACCAGTACGGACCAGTACGGACCAGTACTGACCAGTACAGACCAGTACGGACCAGTACGGACCAGTACGGACCAGTACTGACCAGTACGGACCAGTACGGACCAGTACTGACCAGTACGGACCAGTGCAGGCCAGTACAGACCAGTACAGATCAGTATAGACCAGCATAAACCACCATAAAGCAGTATAGACTAGCATAAACCAGTATGGACCAGTGCAGGTCGGTATAGACCAGTACGGATCAGTATGGACCAGTACAGACCAGTATGGGTCAGTATAGACCAGCATAAACCAGCATAAAGCAGTATAGACCAGTATAGACCAGCATAAACCAGTATGGACCAGTGCAGGCCAGTATAGACCAGTACAGACCAGTACGGATTAGTATGGACCAGTACAGACCAGTACAGATCAGTATAGACCAGCATAAACCAGTATGGACCAGTGCAGGTCGGTATAGACCAGTACGGATCAGTATGGACCAGTACAGGCCAGTACAGACCAGTATGGACCAGTACAGATCAGTATAAACCAGTATGGACCAGCGTAAACCAGTACGGACCAGTGCAGGCCAGTACAGACCCACAGCTTGGAGAAATCTGGCAGCTCTAACAGCTCCTATGGGAACCAGTGTGGACCAGTACAGACCAGTATGGACCAGTGCAGGGCAGTGCAGACCAGTATGGATCAATATGGATCAGCGTGGATCAGTGTCGGGCAGTACAGACCAGTACGAACCAGTATAGATAAGAATGGACCAGTGCGGGGCAGTATGGACCAGTATGGGGCGGTACAAACCAGTATGGACCAGTGTGGGCAAGTATGGACCAGTATAAACCAGTGCAAACCAGTATGGGCCAGTGTAAACCAACGCAAACCAGCATAAACCAGTATATACCAGTACAGACCAGCGTGGACCAGTATAGACCAGGGTGGGCCAATAAAAACCAGTATAAACTAGTACAGACCAGTACAAAGTAGTGCCAACCAGTATGCACCAGTATAAACTAACCCAAACCAGTACGCACCCCATACACCAGTACAAACAGGTATGGACCAGCATAAACCAGTATAGACCAGTACAAACTGGTGCAGACCACTACGCACCAATATAAACTAGCACAGAGCAGTATAAACCACCACTGACCAGTGTAAACCAGTACAGACCAGTACAAACCAGTGCACACCTGCCCTCCCAGCACTCCCAATGCCTCCCAGTGCCCTCCTGCCCCTGTCCCAGTTCCTCCCAGTCCCTCCCAATGTTCCCAGTGTCCCCAGTCCCTCCCAGTCCCTCTCCCAGTCCCTCCCAGTGCCCCCGGTCCCTCTCCCAGTCCCTCTCATTCCCTCCCAGTCCCTCCCAGTGCCCCCAGTCCCTCCCAGTCCCTCCCAGTGCCCCCAGTCCCTCCCAGTCCCGGCCAGTCGCGCGGGCTGGGCGTGCCCAGCGCCCGCAGCACGCAGCACAGCTGCTCGATGTCGTTCTCGCCCGGGAACAGCGGCGACAGCGTCAGCAGCTCCCCGAAAATGCAGCCCACGGCCCTGGGGGGACCGGCTCAGGGGGACCCCAAACCCCACAGGGACCCCAAATCCCACAGGGACCCCAAACCCCACAGGGAACCCAAACCCCACAGGGACCACAAATCCCACAGGGAACCCCAAAATCCCACGGGGAACCCAAATCCCACAGGGACCCCAAACCCCAGTCCCTCACCCAATCCCACGGGGAACCCAAACCCCACAGGGACCCCAAATCCCACAGGGACCACAAATCCCACAGGGACCACAAATCCCACGGGGAACCCAAATCCCACAGGGACCCCAAATCCCACAGGGACCACAAATCCCACAGGGACCACAAATCCCACGGGGAACCCAAATCCCACAGGGACCCCCAAATCCCACAAGGACCCCAAATCCCACAGGAACCCCCAAATCCCACTAGGAACCTCCCAATCCCAGGGGACCCCCAAAATCCCACAGTGACCCCCCTCTGTCCCAGACCCCAGGGGATCCCCAAACCCCAAACCCCACAGGGACCCCCAAAATCCCACAAGGAACACCCCGACCCCAGGGGATCCCCAAAATCCCACAGTGACCCCCCTCTGTCCCAGACCCCAGGGGATCCCCAAAATCCCACAAGGATCTCTCCAATCCCAGGGAATCCCCAAAATCCCAGGGGAACATCCCAAAAATCCCAGAGGGATCCCCAAAATCCGAGGGGGACCCCCCGAACCCAGGGGATCCCCGAAATCCCAGAGGGACCCCCCAAATCCGGGGGAGGGCCCTAAAAATCCCAGGGAGGAACCCAGAAATGGGGAACACCTGGCATCCAACAGGAGGGACCCCAAAACCCACGAGGACCCCCCCAAAAACACAAGATGCCCCCAAATCACAGGGGGACCCCCAAAACCCAGTGGGACACCCCAAAATGCCAGGGGAACACCCCAAAATCCCAGGGGGACACCCAAGGACCAAAGACAGAATTACAGGGTGGAGGAATGGGGGGATCTACAAAACCCAAAACGGGGACCCCACATCAAGCAGGGCTGGACAAGGGGTGAGTGGGGACCCCCAAGACCCTGGGAAGGACCCCAAAAATCCCAGGGGGCCCCCAAAATCCCGGGGGGAGCCCCCCAAAAGCGGGCACTCACCACAAATCCACGCCCTCGTCGTAGTGCCGGGCGCCGTAGAGCAGCTCGGGGGCTCGGTACCACCTGCAGAAGGGGGGTCAGGGGGGGCCCCGGCTTTTGGGGGGCACCCTGGCACGCCGGGGGGGGGGACACCCCAAAACCCGGTACCTGGTGGCCACCTGGTGGCTGTAGGGGCGCCCCGAGGGGGGGCCCAGCACCCGCGCCAGCCCGAAATCCGCCAGCTTGAGGCGGCCGGCGCTGTCCAGCAGCAGATTGGCCGGTTTGAGGTCCTGCACCCCAAAAACGGCCTCAGGGGGGGTCCCCAACACTCGGGGAACCCCCCCAGACTAGGAACACCTCCAGACTGTGGGTCCCCACCCAGGCATTGGGGTGCCCCCCTCGATTTTGGGGTGCCCCAACACCCGCGGCCCCCCTGCAGATATTGGGGTCCCTCCATGTGCCCACCCCGGTTTTGGGGTGTCCTGCAGCTGTCTGAACCTCCCCCCGCCCCGGTTTTGGGGTCCCCCATCCAGTTTTGGGGTGCTCATGTGGGGGTGGGAGGTGCCTCCCCCCAGTCCCAGGGTCCCCCTCCAGTTTCAGGGCTCCCCCCATTTTTGGGGTCCCCCCTTATTTTGGGGTCCCTCAGCACACCTGGAGTCTGGAATCTCCCCATTCTTGACGTCTCCTCATGTTTTTGGGGTCCCCCCTGTTTTGGGGCTCAACCAGTGCAGTAGGCACTGGCTGTGCATGTCGTCCAGCTGCCCCATTTTTGGGGTCCCCATCCCCATTTTTGGGGTTTCCCCCCATTTTTGGGGTTTCCATTCCTGTTTTTGGGTTCTTTGGGTTTCCCCCCCCATTTCTGGGGTTCCCATTCCCATTTTTGGGGTTCGCATCCCCATTTTTGGGGTTCCCATTCCCGTTTCGGGGTGTCTCACCCGGTGCAGCAGGCGCTGGCCGTGCTTCCCCCCATTTTTGGGGTTTCCATTCCTGTTTTTGGGTTCCTGTCCCATTTTTTGGGTTCCCATTCCCGTTTTCGGGGTTCCCATTCCCATTTTTGGGGTGTCTCACCCGGTGCAGCAGGCGCTAGCCGTGCACGTGGCCCAGTCCCTATCCCATTTTTGGGGTCCCCATTCCCATTTCTGGGGTTCCTTATCCCCATTTCTGGTGTTCCCATTCCTGTGTGTGGGGTTCCCTATCCCATTTTTGGGGTGCCCATGCCCATTTTTGGAGTTCCCATTCCAATTTTTGGGGTTCCCATTCCCATTTTTGGGGCTCAGCGCACCTGGAGTCTGGAGTCTCCCCATTCCTGACGTCTCCTCATGTTTTTGGGCCCCCCCCTGTTTTGGGGCTCACCCGGTGCAGCAAGTGCTGGCCGTGCACGTGGCCCAGCCCATTCCCATTTTTGGGGTTCCCATCCCCATTTTTGGGTTTCCCATCCCCATTTTTGGGGTTCCCATCCCCATTTCTGTGGTCCCCATTCCCGTTTTTGGGGTCCCTCACCCCGTTTCGGGGTGTCTCACCCGGTGCAGCAGGTGCTGGCCGTGCACGTGGCCAGGCCCAACCCCATTTTTGCGGTTCCCATTCCCGTGTTTGGGTTTCCCCCCCATTTCTGTGGTCCCCATTCCCGTTTTTGGGGTCCCTCACCCCGTTTCGGGGTGTCTCACCCGGTGCAGCAGGTGCTGGCCGTGCACGTGGCCAGGCCCAACCCCATTTTTGCGGTTCCCATTCCCGTGTTTGGGTTTCCCCCCCATTTCTGTGGTCCCCATTCCCGTTTTTGGGGTCCCTCACCCCGTTTCGGGGTGTCTCACCCGGTGCAGCAGGCGCTGGCCGTGCACGTGGCCAGCCCCATTCCCATTTTTGGGGTCCCCATTCCCATTTTCGGGGTTCCCATTCCCGTTTTTGGGGTCCGTTCCCCCCGTTTTGGGGCTCACCCGGTGCAGCAGGCGCTGGCAGCGCACGTGGCCAGCCCCAATCCCATATTTGTGGTTCCCATTCCCGTGTTTGGGTTTCCCCCCCATTTCTGGGGTTCCCTCTCCCGTTTTTGGGGTCCCTCACCCCGTTTTGGGGCTCATCCAGTGCAGTAGGCACTGGCCGTGCACGTGACCCAGCCCATTCCCATTTCTATGGTCCCCATTCCCGTTTTTGGGGTTCCCATTCCCATTTTTGGGGTCCCTCACCCCGTTTCGGGGTGTCTCACCCGGTGCAGCAGGCGCTGGCCGTGCACGTGGCCCAGCCCCCGCAGGGTCATGGCCAGCAGGGCCCTGACGCGGGCCGGGGGCAGCGGGGCGGGGGCCGCGCGCAGGAGCCCCCCCAGGTCCCCCACCAGCAGCTCCAGGGCCAGAACCACCGCGGGGCCCTGGGCAAAGGCGGCCCGGAGCCGGATCACCTGCGGGGACAGCGGGGACATCAGGGGACAGTGACACCTGGGGGGACAGTGACACCTACAGGGCGACAGTGACATCTGGGGGAACAGTGACACCTGAGGGAACAGTGACACTGACACTTGGGGGGACAGTGACACCTACAGGGCACAGTGACACCTGGGCAAAGGCAGCCCGGAGCCGGATCGCCTACGGGGACAGCAGGGACATCAGGGAACAGTGACACCTGCGGGGACAGCGGGGACAGCGGGGACAGTGTCACCCAGGGGGGACAGTGACACCTGCGGGGACAGTGACACCTGGGGGGGACAGTGGGGACATTGAGGGACAGTGACACCTGGGGGGACAGTGACACCTGCGGGGCCATTGACACCTGGGCAAAGGCAGCCCGGAGCCGGATCGCCTACGGGGACAGCAGGGACATCAGGGAACAGTGACACCTGCGGGGACATTGACACCTGGGCAAAGGCGGCCTGGAGCCGGATCACCTGCGGGGACAGCGGGGACATCAGGGGACAGTGACACCTGCGGGGACAGCGGGGACATTGAGGGACAGTGACACCTGCGGGGACAGTGATACCTACAGGGGGACAGTGACATCTGGGGGAACAGTGACACTGACACCTGGGGGGGACAGTGACACCTGTCAGCCGGATCGCCTACGGGGACAGCAGGGACATCAGGGGACAGTGACAACGGGGGGACAGTGACACCTGGGCAAAGGCGGCCCGGAGCCGGATCACCTGTGGGGACAGTGACACCTACAGGGGACAGTGACACCTGGGGGGTACAGTGACACCTGCAGGGGAACAGTGACACTGCGGGGGACAGGGGGTACATTGAGAGACAGTGACGCCTGGGGGGGACAGTGACATCTACGGAAGGATAACACCCTGTACTGGTTCCAGGTGAGCTCCCCCGGCCGCGGCCCCCGCTGCGGCGCAACAGTGACACTGCGGGGGACAGGGGGTACATTGAGAGACAGTGACGCCTGGGGGGGGCAGTGACATCTACGGAAGGACAGTCACACCCACGGGGAGACAGTGACACCTGCGGGGACAGCGGGGACATCAGGGGACAGTGACACCTGCGGGGACAGCGGGGACATTGAGGGACAGTGACACCTGCGGGGACAGTGATACCTACAGGGGGACAGTGACATCTGGGGGAACAGTGACACTGACACCTGGGGGGGACAGTGACACCTGTCAGCCGGATCGCCTACGGGGACAGCAGGGACATCAGGGGACAGTGACAACGGGGGGACAGTGACACCTGGGCAAAGGCGGCCCGGAGCCGGATCACCTGTGGGGACAGTGACACCTACAGGGGACAGTGACACCTGGGGGGTACAGTGACACCTGCAGGGGAACAGTGACACTGGGGGGGACAGGGGGGACATTGAGAGACAGTGACGCCTGGGGGGGACAGTGACATCTACGGAAGGACAGTCACACCCACGGGGAGACAGTGACACCTGCGGGGACAGCGGGGACATCAGGGGACAGTGACACCTGGGGGGGACAGTGACACCTGCAGGGGACAGTGACCCCTGGGGGGACAGTGACACCTGGGGGGACAGCGGGGACATCAGGGGACAGTGACACCTGGGGGGACAGTGTCACCCAGGGGGGACAGTGACACCTGGGGGGCACAGTGACACCTGCAGGGAGACAGTGACACCTGGGGGGACAATGGCATTGGAGCCGATTCACCTGAGGGACAGTGATGGGGACATCAGAGAAACAGTGAGGACAGCAAGGGGACATCACCAGCGACAGCGGGGACAGCAGAGGGACAGCAAGGGGACATCACCAGGGACAGCAGAGACAGTGAGGTGACAGCGGGATTGGAGCTGGATCACCTGAGGGGACAGCAGGGACAGTGACACCCGGGAGGAACAGCAAAGGGACATCAGCGGGGACAGACAGTGACACCTGCAGGGGACAGTGACACCTGGGGGGACAGTGTCACCCAGGGGGGACAGTGACACCTGGGGGGCACAGTGACACCTGCAGGGAGACAGTGACACCTGGGGGGACAATGGCATTGGAGCCGATTCACCTGAGGGACAGTGATGGGGACATCAGAGAAACAGTGAGGACAGCAAGGGGACATCACCAGCGACAGCGGGGACAGCAGAGGGACAGCAAGGGGACATCACCAGGGACAGCAGAGACAGTGAGGTGACAGCGGGATTGGAGCTGGATCACCTGAGGGGACAGCAGGGACAGTGACACCCGGGAGGAACAGCAAAGGGACATCAGCGGGGACAGCAGGGACATCTGACAGGGACACGGCTTACACTGGGGACACCGGGGACACCAGGGACAGGGACACTCGGGGGACACTGAGATTGGAGCGGGCTCAGCTGGGGGAGGGGACACCGAAACTGGGGGGGACACAAGGGGGACACGGGGACTCTAAAGAAGGGGGGACCCC